GACATAATTTTATTCTTAGTGAATTACCTGGATTATAAAATGTTTTTTAGTGACTGGTGGATTGCATATTTAAAATAAATGCAGAGTGTTGAAAAGATGGAGAAAGCCATTACTCTTTGATGAAAGATTACAAGCTTTTTTCTTTGGAAATACAAGCGCCTATGAATCAATCACAGCAGGAACCAATAATGCGTTTTAAGAACATAAATTCACGTTGACTGTAAAATGCACCTGTCTGGAATGCAGTCTGCTCAAAGAACACTCTGTCGGCAAGCTGCTCCTTCATCCTGCGCTCCTCTTCCTGGGGCCGGACCTGGGGCTGCTCCTGAGCGGCGGAGGGCAGCAGAGTGGCCATCACTTCCTTCCTGCCCAAAGCCTTCCTCTGACTCTGCTCAGACACCTGCAGCCGGAACTTATCAATCACCCCGTAATGACAGGCCCGCACGTCCCTATGGCGGATCACACTGTTTGGCGAAAATCACAAAAAATGGAAGGTTGTGAAAGGCTGAAACAAATCGAAATGACATTTTTCTGTTTCAAATATTGTGCAAGACCTGGAAACTTACATATCCACGCAACATTGCGGTTTAACAGCACCAGTGGCATCCACCACGGCATACTTGTTTGGCGCTGTGCACAAAACTGATGGAACAACAATCAGTTAAAAAAGGAAGGACCACTGCAACACACTATGGATACTAAAACAAAATATATGACTTACCTTTGAATTTAAGAGCAAACTCATAAGGGTTGTAGAGGGTGAGCACCTGCTTATGTGAAGCCTGCTCATCTGCGTAGAACACCAGCTCAGTGGGGAACACAAACACTGGAAGGCTTCCCTCCACTAGGTCAGGCTGCCGGCTCTGCTGCTGCATTGGCTTCAGCTGAGCTCACGTCCTCCTCCCTTTATCGTATTCCCACTCCGTCTCTGGGCTGAAACGGTGCAGAGATCCAGTTCTAAATGCAGCCAGTTCAGCTCTTTGGCAGCATGACGCTCACCTCTGAAATGACAGAAATGGGGCTACTTCATCATGACAGACCATAGGAGGCAGAAACACAAATAATATGTTTACATAAAAATAGCAAAGTTTGTCATAATAATAAAAATAGAACATCAAACATTAATAGTAATGAAAAGAAATATCACTGAGCAGCAAATCAGCATATCAAAAAATGATTTCCCAAGGATCATGTGATGCTGAAGACTGTAGTAATGATGCTGAAAATTCAGCTTTGCCATCATAGGAATAAATTACATTATAAAATATATTTAAAGACAAACCAGTTTAAATTGTAATAATATTTCACAATATTACTGCTTTTATTGGATTTGAATCAAATAAATGCAGCCTTGGCGAGCATAAGAGACATCTTTCAAAAAACACAGTGATACTCAAATAGTGGGTCATGACCAAAAAATGATCCAGGTCTGTTCTGATGCAGATGGCTAAATGCTAAATTAATTCACATAAAGAAACTCAACTAACTACATAATTGTGCATTACTAAGATAACAAAAAGGAGGAGAAAACACTTCCCATATCAGCCTTGATGTCAAAGGCTGCACATTCTGTCAAACTGTGTGTAAATCTATTTTTGGCACAGATTCATCTGTCAACTTGGTATAAGCAGCCAAACTAGACAGACACAAAAAAACGACTGTTTGGCAAGCACTCAAGCGCAAAAAAAAAAAAAATTTTCTCCTGTGAATTATCAGCTGTTATTTAAATGATCCGACTTTATAACTATTTAGAAACTAAAATGATCAATTATCCTATTTAATGTGTCATGTTAATAATTGATCATGTTGTTAGGCCTATGCAGTTTGTGGTAATATGTCAATATTTGATCTGAAAGACATTTTTTGTACAATAACCAACTTTGGTACAGTGCTGGGCAAATTGACATAAAATCTGAATCCTAAAACAAAACCAGCTGCAGACTAACGCAACAGGAGGTTTAAATTACATCTGACAGCATAAATAAGTCTAAGTAACAACAGATTTATTTGTGGCATGAAAATAATCAAAGTAGGCTATGCTTCAGAAAAGTGAAGTAAACACATGCGTGAATTGAAAAGCTGTTGCTCTTGCAAAATGGGTAAATATTTTTACTGCAAATGTTGCAAATGTTATTTAGACGATCAGAATTCATAACCATTTAGAGATCGATTTTCAATAGTGTCATTAATTCAATGTGTCTTGTTGATAATTATTGTACCATACTGTTATATCATATTGTCATGCCTATGAAGTTCATTGTAGTATTAGTAAATCTCAGTGTTTGAGTTGAAGGACATTTTATACAATAAACAACTTGTACAGTGCTGGGCAACTTGACAAAATCTGTCATAAATCAAAAGCAGCTGAGAACTATGGCAACAGGATGTTTAAATAAATTACAAATTACATTAATAATAATTCTATGTAACAAAGTTTCTCCCAGACTTATTTTCGGGATGAGAATAATCAACAGATGCTTCAGAAAACGAATTAAACACAAGCATGAACTAAAAAATTAACTTTTGTTTATATATAAATACTTTATCATTTAGCTACTAATATAGATATGGAGTTAAACAAAACGAAAGCCAAAGGAAAATGCACGTGTCAATATAATCTGATCATGGTGTCAATGTAATAGTGACTAATGGATGATGGCCAAGATATCTGTACAAAAACAAGCTGCTGTCTCCACGTGGCTAACGTTAGTCATGTGACCGTGTTTACCGAATTCGTCTGAAACTCAAGGATTTCGCAATACGATCTAAAGCAATAAATAAATAACGTCAAACCTAACCGTCTCTAACATCATACTAGTGAGGTCAATGACACAGCATGACAGCTGGCAGATACCAGAGTGTCTGCTCTCAAATATCAGTCCAGAGATGAATTTAACTGGCTTTTACAAATGTCAGATAAATACACCCAACAAACACGTAAAAAACAACGCTACTCCTCAACTAAATACTAAAACCCCCTGTAAGTGTCCTCTGTATAATACTCAAATCCCCGTCGAATGATTGATGTCTAGCTAGAGAATGTCTAGAGCAGATCGGATAACGTCCTGACAGACCTTTTGTCCTCTTGAAGGCTATTATGTTTCGCTGACTATTAGCAGAGAGATCGCTATATGTAATATGACATTCGTATTTTAATAAACCTACACATTAAAGCGTCCATTTGCGACCGCAAACCGTGTGGTGTTAAATATTCCTTACATACAATACATTTGGATGTCTAAGAATTCAAGAACGATATCAGTATCTGCCTGAAATATGATTAGCAATCGCTGTCATTTCAGTTCTCTACAGTAACTAACATTTAATAAGACGTTCCGCTTGCAGATACTGTTACTGGTTAAAATAATTCAATAAACGTGATGTTTAGTATTGTTCAATAGATGTATTGGATGTTGACGTATTGCTGGTATGGTTAACATATTCATGCTAGCATAACAATATGGTCAAATCGAGATAACACCGCGTTTAATATTACGTTACTTCATGACGTTATTTAAAGAATAAGGTATATCAAAAACAATTAATAAACATATATGTTTACCTCACTCCCGTTTAACGATATTTATTTCAAATCCCACCCCGTTTCCTTTTTCTTCGTCAACAATACGCTGCAAGGGCGCATTGAATGCTGGGATACTGGAGGGCTTCGGGAACTCCGCCAAAGTCCTCTATGACGTCATTGAGTTTCGCAAATGTACTTTCTGTTATTTATAATATTTTTCTCTGGAAATGTTTTCAGAAGATAAATGACGTTCGTCTTTCGTTTTATACCTCTAAATCTTAAACACAGTTTGGGTGACCGTTTTCCCATTATGAAAAATCTTAAAGGGACAGTTCACCCTAAAAGAAAAATTCTCGCATTACTCGCCCACGTTGTTCCTAAACCTGTGTGGCTTTAATTATTCACTGGAAGAGTAAAAGAGACGCTGGGCAGAAAATTACAGGGGCTGAACGACTCACTTTTTGTTTAAACTGAAGCGGTTATTGACAGAATTTTTATTTTTAGGTAAACTGTCCCTTTAAGGTTTAAAAGCAAAGCTCAAAGGAAGCATTTCGTTAAAACAACCAAAAAATTCTATAGACGTTCGCAAATGAAAGCACAGGAAACCAGAAAATAATTTTTTTTAAACCAGTGAACCGAACTTAACATTTGACAACACAACATACAGCATGTATGTCGCCTATAAAGTTTAAGTAAACAACTCATCCTAAAGAAACCTGCACGCCCTTTAAAATTAAAGCTATCCACCACCGCCTTTTCAGGGCACAACCCATAATCAAAACATTTGTGACCGATTGCACACATTTGCACAATGAGCAAATTTAAAGAACATTTTGCATTACAAAAAAAAGTCTACAGAGAAATTAAAACAGGAAGAACATGACGACCTTTATAAAAACATCTCTCTCAACGGACACACACACAGTTCAGGAATGAACACACTGACAGATTCACTTTAAAAATGTATCCTTTGTTGTAAACCAGTATACCAACGGCTATAATAAACAGAAACCATGTGGTTAAAAAAAGTCGAATATGCTCTACAATATGGTGATCTTATGTCTGGGATAAGACACGTTTCTCACGCTGCCCAAGCAGGCTATTGAGATGTACGTTAGTTATGTAAAAATACGGCTGATTCGATTCTAATAAAGGGTGCTGTATGATCGGTACTTGCTGACAGGCTATTCCCTACGGATATTAAACACACCTAGTAGTATTAGCTACAGGAGCTAGCTTTCGCGCAGAGTAAATATATCACCGCAAATGCCTGTACATTTATCGCAGCGCGTTCAGTGTGTGGGATTATGGTGAGCAGGACTGCCAAACAGGTACGTCCCTTTCTGACATTCACAAATTCAAAGGGCATGTGCAGCGAGGCTCCACGGAAACCGAGGAGCGCGATTTAGGAGGAGCCAGCGCCTGACAACGCTGCTTCTTCTCCCGCGTCTGTGCCGCTGTTGTCATGGTCTCAGGCGGATTGTTGTATTAACATGGCGCTTGCCTATACTCTCTCGAAGGAGATAAACAAGAGGAGGGGAAAGCGGACGAGGACGGATTTCTCCATGGTCAGAGGCAGGCACAATTATTATAAAAAAATCACACGGAACCCAAGCTCACCCAACTCCCCACCCCCCACCAAGACAGCTAGACCAGGATCAGGCGAGGAGGGGGTCGCCCTTTATATGAGATGAAAATGAAACTATATGTGACCCTGAACCATAAACCAGTCATAATGATTAATTTTATTTAAAAGATTTATACATAATCTGAAAGCTGAATAAATAAGCTTGCCATTGATGTATGGTTTGATAGGATAAGACAATATTTGGCCGAGATGCAACTTTTTGAAAATGTGGAATCCGCGGGTGCAAAAAAAAAGAAAAAGGGGGAAAAAAAAAATCGCCTTTAAAATGGTCTAAATAAAGTTCTTAGCAATGCATATTACAAATCAAAAATTAAGTTTTGATATATTTACGGTAGGAAATTTACAAAAATACTTATCCAATATCCTGATGATTTTTGGCATAAACTAAATATCGATAATTTTGTTGGCTGCTACAAATATACCCGTGCTACTTTTTGTACGACTGGTTTTGCGGTCCAGGGTCACCTATATGTTACAAATGAACGTGTCAAATCTGTCTAACACGCAATGCAACAGCAAAAGCGCCCATTAAAAGAAAAAAAAACAACGCGTACAGGCGATTGTCCCCGTCCACCCCTCGATCCGCTCGCGGAGAACTGAGAGCATAAGAGGAATTCCACGACCTCATTGCTTATTTATACCTGAGTGGGCGTGGCTTCGCGTCTCGACTCAGCCAATGGCGTTGCAGCGGCGGGGCGAAGGCGTTTCGGTCTTGTTCGGAAGAGAAGTTCTCTAACAGCGCGACCCCAGCACTGCTCAGAAAAGACAGATAGAGAATCAGGCGGCTGCAAAGGGTGGCAGTACGACCCTCTTTTGGGGGGGGTCTGATTATAACAAAATATATACACACATATATGCATGCCCAGGGCCGCGAGATAGGTCATATGCCGATTGTAGATATTTTAGCAAACATCTAGAGGTCTATCTATACATTTCAAAATGCCTATTTTACTTTTTCTGATAGACACGTCCGCTTCTATGAATCAGCGCACTTATTTGGGTACGACGTTTCTGGACATTGCTAAAGGCGCGGTTGAGATCTTTATGAAGGTAAAGCATAATTTTACCCCGACTTTTTCAGCTTGCTGTTGTACCTTGTTGGAGTTAAGGATCCCTATGACAGGATCAGTTTAAATTAATGTTTATTGTTTCGTTTTCTTTAACAGCTGCGTGCCCGAGACCCGGCTAGTAGAGGCGACAGGTACATGCTAGTTACATTCGATGATCCACCATACGGCGTAAAGGTAAATAAATACTACTAAATTGTGCTTATATGTGGTTAAAGCGTAGATTTCTTTTGCTGACAGTGAGACTCTACTGTCCCTCTGGTTCGTAGCATCGGGTCAGGCGGCCTCCCGGTGACGAAAACGGCTAATTTTTGCTAAAATATCCGCAGACCCGGAGCAGCGCAGCCTCTGAACATGGCG